CGAGAGGCGGCGTCGAAGAGCTTGGCCGTCGCGGTGCCGATGAGCACCGGCTCGCGCGGGCCCGCGGTGCCGTAGACCGAGATCCGCAGCGCCGCGTCGGCGGAGAGGTCGCAATATTTGGCGGTGAAGGAGAGCCACTCGTTCCAGCGGAGCTTGGAGCCAGCGGCCGAGTAGGTACGCTCCGGCTGGCCGAGAGGCATCCCGTGGACTAGGAGCTGAGCTGAGATGTGCAGGTCGTGCGGCGCGACTCCGCACGCGCCCGCCAGCCACGCAGCATAGCTGAGCGGCGGATGCGAGGCACACATTGCAGGGACCGAGCCGTGAAGCTGCTGGACGAGCAACTTCACCTGCAGCGTCACGTCCGAGGACCTGAAGTAGGCGAAGCCGCCCTCCGCCATCTGCGCCGGAAATACGGCGGCGTGGGAAGCGGCTTACGCAGAAGCGGCTGAAGCGGCAGCGGCAGGCAGCGACAGGTGAAGAGAAAACAGCGGTAAATCGGCCCGCTAGGGGTGCGCTTCTTCGCTCCCCGGCCGGTGATGACCGCACTCTCAGTGCTCCAAGTGTGGTTGAAATAAATAAGGAAAGGAAAAACGGATGCCGACAACACACTGGGGTCTGGGCACGGGACTGGCGCGCACTGGCACGGACACCTACACTCCTATTACACCAACCACCGCCGAGCCGCCACGATACGACGACGACGAGCCCGCCAAACCTACTGCCGCTACTGACACATCACCAACACGGCTGAGCCACTCCATACCCAAGAGTTGACGACGAGGGCGGCGGACCACAGCTCGCTGCTCACAGTGCGTCCGGACCCGCTGGGCTCGCCGCCACCAGGGGCATACAAAGTTGATATCAGGCGCCGGCCATCAAGCCTCCCAGCAGGCAGCGCTGTAGCGGCTCCGCGACCCGGGCGGGAGAGAAGGGGCTCGACCCAGCGGGCGGGTCGTCGTCCCACTTGTCTGCGCCAAACCGCCCTCGCGCGGCGAGCTGGCTCCGGTAGCCCCATCGCGTCCGGAAGCGCCACTCGGTTGGGTCGTCACAGGCGCGGTTGAAGCGCGCCGAGCTGTCGTTGCACTCCTGACGGCTGAGCATGGAGCGGCAGTACTCCGCGCCCTGGTGGCTCACGCGCCACTCGTGGACGCCGCGCCGGTCGCGGACGAGGGCGCGGGAGCCGTCGGCTGCCACGTCCACCGGCCAGCACAGGGCAACCTCAGAGGAGCTAGTGTGCTGCCAGCCGACGGCCGGATCGACGAGGCACTTGGGGGAGCCAAAGGTGTAGATGCGCTCCAGCGTGTGCGCGTCGAAGGCCACCACGCGCGACCGCGGTCGATCTGCGAAGAGCAGGATGGCCCGCCCGTCGACCTTCGCCGCGGCCCCGCCCCACGGGCTGAAGGCGTCGCTGAACTGGCTGCGCATGATGCGCACCAGCCCATCGCCCACGTTATTGAGGGCAAACTTATGGACGCAGCCGCCCGCCGCGTCGGCCACGTAGAGGATCGGGCCGAGGATGATGATCGCGGCGGGCTTGCCGATGGTCGGCCCGATGAGGACCGTCCGTTCGAGCCGTCCCTCCTCGGTGAAGATTTTGAGTGTGTGGCCAGGGGTGTGCGCCCAGGCGTTGACCACACCGAGGCGGCCATTGGACAGCGCAGTCGTGAAGGACCGTCCGGCCTGGACGGACATGGAGTTGGCGGCGGCACGGCTGTGGTGCACCGGGAGCGGGAACGCCTCGCGGAAGCCGACCGCAAAGGGCCGGCATGTGGAGGCGATGCGGCGACACTCGTAGTAGCCGAGGCGGCGGAAGACGAGGAGCTGCGGGAGATCCGGTGCGAGCAGGGCGGTGGAGACCAGGTTGGCGTACTCGGCGGATGCCTTCCTCGCCGCCTCTTGCTGCCTCACCGCCGCACGCTCGAGCGCATACTCCCGCCGTTTCTGCTTCTGCTGCTCGGCATGCGCTCGCCTCGACTGCCAATCTGCAAAGGCTTTTGCCGCACACGCCGGCAGCGGCGACTGCGTGCGCGCGGACGTCGACCGGGGCTTCTCTGTGGGGTGTTCGGGGTACACGAGCTCCATTTCTGGGGCCCTGTTGCAGCCCCGCGGCGGGCGTTCCGCGCAAATTGCGTCGTCAGATGGTTGTTTCCCGCCACAACTCCCGCCACACAGCCCCCCCCCCCCCCCCCCGGGGGGGGGGGGAAAT